CAGCATAGAGATTGGCCTATTTTCTTAATTAAGAGTAAAGTGGATTAGTGGAAGACATGTTAGGATAACTGCTGGTTTTCCAATAAGGGTAGAGATTAGCAGCTATTCTCTTTAATGAGAGTAAAATCGTTACCTTGCACGTGAAGGAAGAGCTACAAACCTGTTGGAATCTACCTGTATCTTTTGCAATGAGCAGCCTAGATGGTGACTAACCAGCTAGATTGTAATTTTGGTTGCTATGATTTTGCCAAACTAAACCACTGTCAGGAAAACCTGAAAATTTTCCATGTGAACTCCTTGCTTCATACTGATTTTAGTTGACTTTTTAAACTGAGGTTATGTAAGAAATGTTTGACTATATGGGGAAAAAAAAAAAATCTTAATTTGATGAGAATTGAAGGACAGTCATCCAAGATAGCTTTTGCTATTTTTCTGAAAATCATCCTAAATCCAATTAGCCTATGAATGTCTACAAGCTGTAGCCATCTTGTTTCATACTTCCCTTCCTCCCTTCTAACTTTTGCAAAGAACAGGACCAAAGGAAACAAGGGAAAACAGCTCACAGTCACAGAATTAAACACAGTGTGACAATACCACATTCTAAAGACGCCTCACTTCTGAGTGCTTAGTTTAGCAACATCCCAAGATTTTAATCCAATAAAAAATTTGTCTTGTTTATATATGTATGGTGTCAATATGCCCTTCAGTGAAGGAGATGGTGTACCTTAAACTACTGGCAACCTTACTTACTCATTTTGCATAGTTATTATGGTACAAATTTTAATATGCCACATACAATTTCTCAATCAAGCATTGCATTATCAGGGAGTTTTTCAGCATCATTTAAATGTGCCTTAAATTCAATTAATATTTTGAGCAAAAAGAAATACAGAAAAATAATTCTATAATGTTCTCAATAAACTTCTTTACATTTTCATTTTTACGTATATCATTCTCTAAAAAGTTTCTAAATTGAACTATTCTTTTTCTGTTTGAGAATTCTTTTTTTTTGTATGTAGGGAGCATACAAGAAATCTGCAACAGTTTTTATATGAATTATGCAAAATCTTCCACAAAGAAGTGTAGCTTTTTTTTTTCCTAGAAAAATATTTTTTCTTCTTGCTGATTTATTGCATTATAAGTGAACCTGCCATATAAGAACATCCTTTAAAGAATTTTTGTGGATTTTTGTCTCATATATGCACAGTGTTGGCATAAATATCTCTTCTATACATCTGTGTGCTGAAGCTTATAGAAACAATTCTGTGCTAGTGATATATGAGCTGGGTAATTAAAATACTGGCATATAAAGCAAAAACTGAAGCATAAGAATGACTGCACTGTTAGAGTATTGTTTCATAAAGTTTCACAGTGAGCTTGCTTTGAAGAAAAATAAATATTCTGTGATCTCAATGTGTAGGGATATGTCTGTAGGTGTATATTACACACGCACACACAAATTTTGTGTATCTGAATCAGAAGATCATCTAATAGCTCGTATATGCTGTATTGCCTGGTATACACATGATTTATAGAGAAAAAGCTCCTTTGGAGCCTTGGGCTCATCTTTTCCCCTAGACAAGAAAGATCTTGTTCACAGGCAGGAATCTTTAAAGCAATAAGCTGTCAAACCTACCAAAAAAAAAAAAAAAAAATTTAGGCAGGCTCAATTTGTGACTATAAAGGGATTCTAACTAAAACGATTTGGTCAAATAGCTGACTTCCCTCCCCCCCCATTTCCAGATAGTCAAAAGTATTGCTTTATAATAAAGGCCACTTACCTACTAAAGGACAAGAAAGCTGAGAAAAGCTGAGTATGTGAATTCTGTAGGTGTGTCTGAGCAACTGAAACTGCAGCTATTAACCATGATAAGTGCTGTTCAACAACTTGTAAATAAATCAGTATAGATTTAGCAATTTATATTTTTTTTTCTTTTCTTTAGAGTGGAGAGTGGGGTTTTTTCATTCAACTCATTTCTAAAGTATGTAAGGAAATTTTAGTCTCAGAATAAGTTCACCCCTGTAAATAGTCAGTCTGAGGGCTGAAAATTTTGAACAGTTGTGATCATGTGAAAATAGGAAACTAGAATGGAAGTTCTCTGCCTCCAACTTGGTTTATATGTGGTTTGGCTAAGACTATGCTTTGTATCCCTACCGCAGTTCTGTTTCACACAATGTATTTTTCAAAAACCATAATTTAGAATTAATTTTCTCTAATATGTGATAATTATGATGTACATGATAGATGAATATAGCAACGGGCAAAGACACACAAAATTCTGATTCAGTACCAGTGGCTGAGCGACATATTACAAGTTATCTGGCCCAAGTCTTTAAAAGATGTTTAAGTAGTTAGCCAACAGGCTGTTTCAATAGCTGTCAGGCACCCACATATCTTTAAAGACTGTGATTGTGAGTTTAGGTAGCATAAATTTCTTTTAAGCTAATTTCTTCTGGCTAAACAAATAATGAAGATCTAAATTGCACCAAAGAGCATTCACGCTAATGAAAACCAAGCCTCTGGTTATTTTCTCTGGCCTTGAATTCCATTTGAAGTTTGTTTTTATTCTCATTACATATTTCATGTTTAGAAAGCTAGAAGAGGCCATTAGATTATTTAGTTCAAGCTTCTGTATAGTGTAAGTTCTTTTGTAAGTCATCCTGTTATTTATATGTTTAGCTTGTAACTTCTGTGCAGTGAAAGCACAAATAGAATCTATAATTCATATAGTGTTTTTCCGTAAAAGTATTTCTACTGAAGAACAGTTCTATTCATTTAAAATTTGTAGTGTCACTTTATTTGAAGATCCCAGTGGAGTTTTAGGCTTGTATTTTAGCTCTTAAAATCATTTTAAACAATTCTAGCAGCAGTAGAAAAAAGGCTCTTGGGTACATAGTTTAGCTGTCTAATTTCTAAATAGTTTAAATGTTAAGCCTGTAAAATAAATTATATATAGCTTGAATTTAAATGAACAAAGAATACTAGTTTTCCTTTGGGAAATAGCTTTAATTTAAAAAGAAAATTATGTTTTTTATGTAACTCTCAGCTGGGAATGCATTTGTTAGCAAAATAGCTATTTGGTGTTTTGAAAATGTAGTTCTGCTTAAGCTACAGGCTCAATAAGAAGCACAAAGCCAGTTTCCATTTAAGAGCTAAGCCACTGATGCACCTAGCTTGGCTGGGTTAGTAAAGAAAAGACTGTAAATTGAGTTCTTGTGAAATGTGTCTCAAAAAATGAATGTGTGCCCCATGGAAGTTGTGGGTATTTTCTTCTCCCCTCCACTCCCATGGCATATAAGATGTTGTACAGGCACTGCTGCAGACAGTGAAACCTGGCTTTTCTGTACCAGGTTTCCAGAGCTTCATTTTTTCATTGGTTTCTTTTTGGTCTCTTTCTTTCTATATATCCATCAAAGCAGCTTTGTTCTGCTTCCCCATTATTGTAGATTCATTTTCTCATGGCTCTAGGCTACACCATGGAAGAATAGTAAAGCTGCTGGTTTTGATCCATAGATCTTTCACTTAAACATTGAAATTTCCCTCTCCCCCTGCTTGTAGGCTTGGCAGCCTCTCTGCTGTGCTGTAGCCAGTCTTTCACAGGGCGTCTTTGCCAGGCTCCTTCCTGATGTACACCAGGTGCCCCTGTGCTATGAAGAAGGTCACCCTTTTTCCCTAACATGGCTAGTAGGAAGACAACCTCACCGCAGGGCCCTCCCCAGCCCTTTTTCTACCCCAGGAGCGGTGTGACCGCAGCTTTCTGCATAAAGGGGGGGGGGGGTTATTTCTCAGATGTGTTCAGACTCTTCTGTACGCATGTATCTGAGGGTGCCTTTCCTAAGTACTAAGTTTCTAAGCTCTAAGTTCCCTCTGTGTGACACCAGTATCTGTGCTGTCGTTGCTACTTCTGTATTTTGAAATAACATTTCTCAGGCTTTGGGGTTTGTTGGTTTTTTTGTGGTTTTTTTTTTTTCTCTTTACATGCCAGTTTGACACTTAGGACATTCTTTAGGGCTTGAGTGCTTCGTTGTGTTTTTCTGGGATGGGGATGGGAGGGAGTTACTCTTTGTTGAGGTGTACCTCCTTAACTTCAGGTGTTTGGTTAAGCCTTCTGCTCACTGTAGAGCTTTCTCTGCCTTCACAGAGATGCTTGCCAATAATGCTGTCATTGATTTTGATGGGTGAATGTTTTCCTGATATGATAAGGAGTCTGGAAGAAGGGAAGATCACCAAGACATTTGGACATGTGTCACAGAAGAAAACCACCAGATTGTAATGTTAGGACACTGATCACTTTATGCAAAACCACAACACAAAAAGCTCTGTATCCCATTACATGGTAACAACAGCTCTGGGACCAACCTTTATCTTAGGGTCTGCTTACAGCTGTAGTTTTTGTTTTCCTAGATAACGCAGCTATCTCCTTCAAACGGACAGTGAGGAATGAAAAAGAGGAAGGACCATGACTTTTTAACACCTGCCTCCTAGAAAGCGTGCACATGCGTGTCTATGCTGTTCTATACACATGACTCCAGAGTACTCAAAATGTTCTCTAATCCTTTTAACTGTGTAACTGCAAAAAGGTATCCTGGGAACTTTGTGTACTTTTCATACTGGATATTTTCAGCTTGGGTTAGATTATGCTAACTTTGAGTATTTTATTGGCATTACTTACAGACCAAGAACTATTCAGCTCTTAGAAAAAAGCACTGGTATTTGTCTTAAAGGTTTTGCCATGCATAAAAGGGAAAACAAGTGTTATTTCTGTTTATTCACCTTCAGACCACATAGCAAATTCGAAGAGAAATAACTAAGTGAAGAGAAATTACTAAGTGGCAGAAGGGAACAACGAATATGTTCCTGGGCTTCAATCTGAAAGGTCATATACCTGGCGTCTTATGAATGTCAAGTCTGAAAATGAAAAAGCAGTGTAAATAAACCAGTGCCTTTGCATTGCTGGTTGGCAAGCTCCCTCACTAGCTCTTGCTGTCCTTCCCGTCAGGATCTGTCACTGTGAGGGAGATGATGAAAGTCCTCTCATCACACCGTGTCGCTGCACAGGGACCCTGCGCTTTGTTCATCAGGCCTGCCTGCACCAGTGGATTAAGAGCTCAGACACGCGCTGTTGTGAACTCTGCAAGTATGACTTTATAATGGAGACCAAGCTCAAACCACTTCGGAAGGTATGGTGCTTTTGAATTTAATTATCCTCGAGTGTCAAATGGCCAGAATGGCTGTGCAAAGTACTGACACAGTTAAAGAAACATCTGCCTGTCCAAAATGGCTTTGTATTTGCTGTTGTTAAATCAATCCCAGTGATTTTATTTCTACATTGAAGTTAGTTAATTTACAGCATCAGAGGATTTTGTATGAAGGCTCTCTTTCAGCAGACACGCAATATAAATGCACAAATAATAGGGGTTTTTGTATTTGGAAATCTTATCTTCAACTTCTTCTTATTGGCTCATCTGCCTGTTTTTAAGCTAGAAAGGAATCTTACTCATCACATTTTGCTCCTAACACAGGCCTGTTCACCCAATAATTTTTACATGGAATCCATAACTTCTGGTTGAGAATGGTGCTTATACCAACGTGCAGACAGCAATTATGAAGTAAAACACAGTCAATCAATTTAGCTGCATCTGTTCTAACTGTTACACTTGTGGGCAAATTAATCACTTGTACATTAAGATCAGTTAATGGAATCTAAACTAGAGGGCAACCTTGCATCCTGAAAGTCAAATGTATGATATCTGCGCTCATCTGTTTTCCAGGATAAATCAATTTAATGGTACACGGGTTTTCAGTATAGGGAAGGTGAAGAGTTTGTTAAACATATGTGGGGTTTGTTTTCTTTGCAGTGAATAATTTCTCCTCTAATTTTTCTCTAAAACTGCTCTCATCCTTATTGGGTTTTGTTGCATCTTTGAAGTTTGAGTCAATCTAGAACAGGACAAGTTTTGATTTAAAATATATTTCAATGCAAGTGCCCTTGAAAAACATGTAGAAACTATTAGCTTATAACTATATGCATACGTATATAGTGTGTACTGTAGTAGTGTTTTGATGGCAAAAGACATTTCGTTTTTGTCAGCCTTGCACAGGTAGCAGCAGTTCAGAGAAAGGAGAGCAAATGGAATTCCTTCTCATTTCATATCCAGCGAAATTGTCTAGTAAGTCCCTGATGATAAACCACTTTTCAAAAGAGAATTGGGCTTGATTTGACAAGCAAAGTTTGTGATAGGAAAGGACACGGTTCTCAAGTGCCAGGTAGACTGGAAATTGAAACAGGTGTAAATAAAAAAACTGATGGGTAAAAACTTAATTATATTGACTTAGGTTTTAGTAATTGCAGATAAATTTTAACTAATGTGACAGGAAAGAGATAATTGTATAAAATCCCCTGTCTGTAGCATTTCTTGGGGGGATTTTTGCTATATAGATGTTTCTATTTTCAACAGAAATTGCTTTAACCTTCCAACTAACAAGTACACTTGCAACAGCCAGTTTCCCCAAGAGAAAATACAGATACCAGTATTTTTAACAAAAGCCTTTTCCTGATTGCGTTAGATAATGGAGGATCTTTAAAAAAAAAAAAAAAAGGAAACAAAATTTATAGCATCCAAGGAGAAAATGAATAAAAATGTGCATAACTGTTGATAGCAGAAGTAGACACTTTTAACTCTATGTGTGGTTATTGCCGCCCCTCCCTGCTTTTTTTAAGTGATAGAAAATAACGGAATACTGTCACTAATGTAATTCCTACAAGTCTGTCATTTCTTAATTGAACAATTACCACCTTACTCAGCTTATCGTTAGTTCTCAGGTGTGGTTTTGATTCCTGGCATAGGAAAGATTATCTTCTTCTTTCAGACGGGATATTTTTGTTTCTGTTCAAAGCAGTACTCAAATGTAGTTTATCTGCCTGGCAGTAAATACTGGCAACATTCTCCCCCTTCAAATGCAGTGCTAACAAATATTTGTCCCAGCATCTAATTATAGATAATTTCTTGTAGACTGCACCCATTTCAGAAACCAGAACCAAAGTTTCCACAGATTTCAGTTAAAATTAGTTATCCTTTTTGCATTTATAGCATTCAACTGTGACACCCTTCATATATTATATTAAACTACATATATCACCCGTAATAAGTTTATGAACTATCATCACCATCGTTCACAAATTTAGGAGGCACCAAACAGTTTATGAGAAGTTGTTTTATAAACCAAGAATTTTGACAGCTGTAGCAAAGACAAAGTAAGGGAGGAAAAACATCAAGAGACTTGCCAGGTAAGTACAGCTGCCTGGTAACTTTCCACCCAAACACCTTTTATAAAAATCGCTGAAAGTGCTGTTTAGTCAAAACCTATATATTTTGCAGGTGTAAAGTTCCGATGAAACAGTCAAATTTCTTGCAAGCTTTTTACAGAGCCCAGAACCTCAGCTGTGGGGCATACCAGGTTTTCAGAAGCTGTCATGAAGACTGGTTACCAGAGAACAAAGTGCTGTGGGACAGGCAGCTCCTAAAGCTGAAGCTCTCAACGATTGTTGATGCTTGATGCAGGATCAGACTCTAGGATTTCCAGACCTTCTTGAGAGCTTTAGGTTTTGCTAAGGCTTGGCTATGTACTAGACCCTGAGAGCCTTTAGTCTCCAGCACTAAGTCCAGCCTGGCAGCAGTAAAGTAAAATTTCCCAAATCTCTGGAATTCTCTGGTTGTAATGGCAAAGACCTTACAAGCAGTGTAAGTTATATCTGAAAATGATACAATTCTTGTCAGCTTTGCTGTAAGCTGAATGGAAGCAGCAAAATTGACAAAAATTAATTATTTTGCTAACAAGCTTTGAGGAATTTTGAAAACAGATTTCATTTCAGTGTTTCCTAAACAAAAGACCAGAGAATTAGTTCCAACAGAAGAGTACTTATTCAGTTCCATAAGAAACTAATTTTATCTTTAAAAAAGCAAATTATTTCCCCTAAAGTAAAAGTTTCTGGCCAACTCCAGAAGATGCCATTTCCATGGCCATTAGACCTGCATTTGAAGTGGCATTCTACAACTGAAAGGGTCACATCTCCCAACTAGTTTTGATTTTAGTCTCTACCATACTCATGATGTGAGATTCTGAAGTTCTGATTCTTGACTGTGCATGGCTTCATTATGATGAATTTTATCATAATACTTTCGTAAAATTCCAACCACTGGTCTCCTGAAGGGAAAAAATTACAGACCACAAAACTTAATTGCAGGTATCTATACTTTTGTTTTTGCAGTATTGCAAAAGCAGAATTTAAATATAAAACAAACTATTTGAGTCAACTGGTGAATTACCATCTTTATTCATGCCTCAGACTTTCATGCAACCTCAATGTTTCCTAACAGTTTTTTATCAAAATCTAAGGTTTTATAGCAAAATTGTGTTTGAATATCGTCATACAGCTATTAGCACCCATAAGTGACAATGTGCAGCATACCAAATTAACATAAATCAAGATACCTCTATTAAATCAATAGGCTTGTGCGAATATGCAACAGTTATTTAATTACGGAATCCCTGAAAGCACCAGACATCAAATAGAACTTAATCATTTTAGTGAGTCTTTGCATTGAAGTCATCCTTTTAAGCATTGATCAACAGGCATTGCAAGTGTTTCATATATTTGAGTAGGTCTAATTACATGGCTAAATATAAATTTAGAGATTAAATATTAAGCATTGCTTAGTGTGTCTGTTTTATTTCTTGTGGTCTCTGTTATGTCTGTCTATGGTTATAAATAAAACAGTTGCATTTGTAGCTTTACCTTTTAGCATTTGCAATCCATAATGCAGAATTTCTCATTTATAAGGTGATTTTATTTATCACGGAAGGAATTAGAAAGTGGCAATAAGCTTATGTGAGTTCCTTATTGAGCTCTCTCAGGTAATAACTTCATCCTGACAAAATCACTTCTTTAAAAAGGATATAATCCTGGTAAAGTAGCACCCGCATTTCATATCTCTTGAATTTGCTGTTTGAAGCATAGTAGAAGCAGGAACTGAATGAAAATAATGTGAGTATGAAATGGATTAAAGTGTCAAATTAAAACGCAGAAATGTCTTCAAATGAAGGTTTCTCCACGATGTCTTGCTATACTTCAAAATACTTTTTATATTTAAATTTTGTTGTCCATTTAAGACATCTGGTATCTTATGAGATGTTTTACTTCAATGCATTATCCCAACAGATTATTCTTGGTATTGGATATGTCTATTTTGTCTTTTGATTTTGTTTTATCTTTGAAATGATTTAGAAACAATGTCTTATTTATGTGAGACAATTGCACGTTGTTACCATGTAGTTGGTTACTCTTAGTCATTGAGGAAGAGCAAGTCAATTTTTTGTTTAGAGAAGCATTATGTACCAGTTGAGGTTGATTTCTTTCTGATAGAAAGGGTATGTGAATTCTTCCCTTTAAAAATTGAGGATAGGGAATGTCCTTTTAGAACCGAGTGACAAATTTCTGTTAAATTAAACAAAAGCAAAGCCAGTCTTAAAATACTGATAATGCAAGAAGCTTGAGCTTCTTGTTTATTTTGAATGTGTTCATGTATCTTCTAAGTGTTTACTCCTCTTGTGTTCTGTATTTGCTTATATACTGATAAATAGCACTTCTAAATGTGGTATGAAGTGCCTCTCTGGGTTTTACACCCTTGAACTCTGTGAAACTTCAGGTGTACTCAGCTGCTGTCATTAGAGGAGAAGGAAGGAATGCTCCCTTTCCGTATCATTTATTTTATAAATAACCAGACTGTAATAAGAGTAATAAAATGTCCATGACAGCTTTAACTCCCATACAGGATTCAAAGGTTTAAGGCCCAGTTGGAGATTCACAGTTCATGGCTGCCAGGAACAGGGTATTTAGATCCTGGAGAAAAGTTACGGAACTGGCTAACTCAACTTCCCATACAAAGCAAAACCCAGTTCAAGCGTATCAGTGCTCCTTTGTGGTTGGATCACTGATTAACTGGATACCTCAGTTTGGGGAAGATTTCAAGTGTTTGGTATGATGCTGATTTAACTATTGGATCAAAAGCAAATTCTTAGTTTTACTATAGTACATTAAAGATACTCTGTTTGCAACAAGACCATTGGATCAGTAGGAACTGTGTAGGGTTTGAGCCAACAGACAACTTGTGGCTAATGC